ATTTATCAGCTACAAAAACCTCCTAGAGGTGTCATCCCCGTTTTCTCTTTGCAGGCTGCTTTTATACTCCTGAATCTGTTTTTCTGCAGCTCTGATGTACACAAACTATTCATTTTGGCTGCCTGTATTCGTGCTAAATGTTTGCCCAGCTCAGACTCTAGTTCACTGCTCAGAAAAAGTGTGGGGGGGAAAGCAGAGGAAGCTGCAAGAAGAACTAGCAAAAGAGGGGGTTTGGGCTCCCTTGGCTCGCACTCACATCCTCGTTCCACGTCTGCCAACAAAAACACTCGCAGGGCAGCGTGTGAATGGCAAACTGGGACAGACAAGGTCAGCCCAGAACATCTGCTCCCAGTTCAGATGGGGGTTTGCAGGGGGGGTGCCGGATTTGGTCCCTGTTGCGCCGCCTGTACTTCCCGGCGCTGCAGTGCCGGGGCTGCTCCCAAGGAGGTGTTAACCCTGCTCCTATTCTTAGTGCTACTGCTGTTCCCCGCAGGAGCACGTGGCATCTCGCTGGCTTACCAGCTCCTTGGCAGGGAAGTGAAGCCTTTGGAAGGCTGTGCAGACTCAGTTAATCTGAATTAACTGGGCGGGGATGGGCGCTCTCGGCACCCTAAGACTTTGCACCAAGCCGGTGCTGCCTTCTGCCTGTGGGAGGGGGATTTGGGGGATTTCTGGGGCCGGTTTCCTTCATTTTCTCATCCCATTAGCAAACCCCCTCCCTAGGCAGGATAACCCATGTGCACTTTGGAGTCTCACCCTCCTGCCGTGCTCTCTCCCCGCCGGGAAGGTGCTGGACGGGTCCCCCATCGAGGTGACTTTGGCCAAGCCGGTGGACAAGGACAGCTACGTGAGATACACGCGTGGCACGGGCGGCAGGGGCCCGGTGCTGCCGGGGGAGTACACCTACACCTTTGGGCACGTGTACGACCCCGCCGCCGCCTACCTGGGCGCCCCGGTGTTCTACGCGCCCCAGGCCTACGCCGCCATCCCCAACCTGCACTTCCCCGCCACCAAGGGGCTCAGCAGCAGGAGCATCATCCGGCCCCCCTCCATCCGAGGTAACGCCTGCCACACAGCACTCAGCTCCAGCAAAATAGCTCCTCCTCCTCCTACATGTGTGTCGTTGGACACCGCCCTGGCTCCCGGACCCCTGTCCCAAAGGGATGGAAAATGCGGGGTTTGGCCTCTGTCCTTCCCAATTTTCCAGCGGGCCAAGCTGAAAGAAATCACCATTTTCCTGGAGTAAGCCTGAAAGAGCTTCCAGATTGCCCTGGGGCCAGTGTAAATAAACCACAAATCCTGGTTTTGCCCCAGCAGGGAAGACCAAATAAAACAATTTTCCTTTCCCCCCTTCAGAGCCAGACCCCACAGCCAGCCACCAGCACAGCTCAGCGCTCTGTTTCCTCTCTGCTTTGAAGGTCACAGGGAAAGTTTTACCAGTCCTGGTGTTTTCTGACCCAAAGCCATGGAGCTTCCCAAGGAGGTCACCATGCCCCTAATACAGGGTAGGGAGCCAGCACTGAAATCAAGAAAGCCATTAATGATGTGCTCTGGGAGAGGGAGCCCTGTTTTGGGGGGTCATCAGCCTTATAATAACCAGGGTATTTCTGAAAACTACTGGGTCACTGCACCTGGGACCAAATCAAATCCCCCTACTCAGATAGCCCCAAATTAAATATCAGTGCAGACATCATTTGGTAAGTGCAGAAGTAAGTTTAGGGTTAGCAAAAAAAAAGAAAAATAAATAAATAACTCTGCTCATTTGATCCTCCCTCCAAAGATTATGCCTTGTGTCCCCAAGCCCGTGGCCAAGTCCCACAGCAGGCTGGGACTCTGTGTGGCACCCCAACAGGGCTAACAAGGACCATCATGGCCAGTTTTTCTCCCTTCACAAGGAAGGGGACAGGGCAGCCAGGAACACCCCTTGCACCTCATGTTTTTCCCACACAGGTGAAAGCAGCTTCTATGAAGTTTGCACTGGGAAAGGTGCAGATGTGATAACCCACCATCCCTCTCTCGCCTTATGTTCTCCCCAGACCCCCAAGCGGGGTTCCCTGAGGAAAAATGGAAGTGTAATGGGGGAAAACAAAAAGGGATTTTCATCTATATAAGGGTGAAATTGTATAAACTCTGAATTCTTCCAGAAGGTGAAATTACGCTGGTGGGTAACAAAAGATACCAGCTGTCCCCTCTCCACATTTCAGCTACAAATGTGGGTAGAAAGGCATCACGAAATCAAAACTGGCTAGAGAAGGTGGGAAATGGGTCAGAAGGAAGCAGGTCTCCCCAGAAAAGCCTCCCCTACCCAAGCATAAGAGCCCAAAAAGAAAGGGTGTCGGTGTCGAGCCGGGGTTATCCCGCGGAGGGGCCTCCTGCCCGTCTTCTTCCCCCCCCACCCCCAGCAAGCAGGGCTAACTTTTCCATTTCAGCAAGGATCAGGGTCGTTTTTCCCGTGATTTGATTCAGTTTAATGCCTTCTTACATTCCTAGAAATTTACATGAATGTACCTGTAGGGGCTGCGGGAGTTAGAGGCCTGGGAGGTCGCGGCTACCTGGCGTACACGGGCCTGGGCCGAGGATACCAGCTCAAAGAAAAGAGGGGAGAGGACAAACTCTACGACCTCCTGCCAGGGATGGAGCTCACGCCGATGAACCACGTCACACTAAAGCCCCAAGGGATCAAACTCGCTCCTCAGGTACCGAAAATAGCATCAATATCCCGGCCAACCGCCGCCTCTGCCCAAAATGCTTCTGGAAAACAGGCCCCTGATGGGATCTGCGCTGGGGACTGCTAATTAAATCCCTTCCTGCACCTCCAAAAACATTAAAAAAATCAGTGATGCTGGTTGTGCCTTGTAATATCCACCCACCTCGCTGTAGCACAGCGTCCACTCACAGAGCCCTAGAATTGCCTGGGTTGGAGGAGACCTTTAGGATCACCATTGGCCACGGAGGAGAGCTGGCATAAACACCCATGGGGGCCAGGTGAAATCCAGTTGTGGTTGTTCCTCCGTGAAAGCGCCGAGGGTAAAGAAATTCCCACCCAAAAAGGGTTTGATACATGAGATGCACCCCCTGGGGCTTCACCGAGGGGTGAATGCACATGTAGGGAAAAATAATGTACATTTTCAAACTATTTATGGGGAAGGAGGTGTTGACCACAACCCAGCCCAGTGCAGAAGCTCTGGTACCTCCAGGAGGTTTTAGATTTGGTTGTGCCTGTGGGCCTGGGATCCAGATGGATGGATGAGGGCTGAGGAGAAATCCAGAACAAATTCCCCGAGTCTCTGAAGGTCCGGCTCTTACAGTAACTCCTTTCCCCTCACCTTCTCCAAAGCAACCTGAGAAACCAACTTCACCCTGAATTTTGAAGCTCATCTTTGCTTATTGACACTGAATTACCACAGCATCCAGTTTGCCACAGTCTGTGAAAACATCCTTTTTTCCTCCCGGAAAACTGGATAGTGGGATTTTTTCCCTCCTACAAAATTCCACAGTGCCCTTACCCTGTTATATCAGAACCACAGAACAGCCTGGATTGGAAGAGACCTTAAAGCTCATCTAGTCCCAACCCCTCTGCCACGGGACACCTTCCACAGGAGGTGTGAGATCACCTGAGTGGTTCTGCAGTGCCTCAGGGCGGCTGAAATTCCCCTTTTCCTCTTCCCATCCTTGCCAGCCCCCACTGTGTGTGTTCCAGCACTGAGGACTTGCTCCGTGGGGCACATTTTTCCAGCAGCTGAGCTCCCTAATCCCCCCACTGGCTACTGTCTCACAACAGCAGGTCACAAACCCCTGCAATTTGCCTCGTTAACGGGACAAGCTCATTAATACCTGTCAGCACGGCCAGGCTCTCCCATCCTCTGTGCTGAGACCATTCCAACACCCCCTTGGAATGGTTTGGTTCTCAGCTGGGGTGCTCAGTGTTGGTACCCAGGATTTCGAGGTTGATGTGACATTAAAAACCCGCCACCCACACGAAGGTGCTGGGACAGCAGGGAACAAGTGTTGCCCCAGTCCAGAAATGTAATGAATTATTTATTTACACACCAGGTACTGAACTTCAGCGGGGAGCTGTGATTGTAAAATTCAAAGCAGCACCGACGTTTATATTTTACATTTTCATTTTAAATAAAATGAAGTGTAAGTTTTAAATAGGCGAGACTTTGGGGTGACTTAATTGTGGCCTTCCAGGACCTGAAGGGAGCCCACAACAAAGGTGGAGAGAGGCTATTTACAG